CAAGCAAATTGATCCTTGCCACTGGCTCTTAAGGCCAGCAAGGTTCACAACGGAGGGAGACAGGAATACTCCAAGACTCATTTCTTATGGAAATGCTGCATCTTCATGAGTGCATTTCCTGATTTTCCAGTGATGGGAGTGGTGAATTATGAGTATGTAATGTCATAATGAGCTGTAGGTATATGAGATGGAGCACAGTTCAGATTAGAGAAATGGAGGCTTAGTGCCAAAGAGGGAATTAGAATAGCAGAGTGTTGAATGTAAGGAGGTTGGGGTGATGGGCATGTGTGTGTATGCAACATTGAGGTAGTAGGAGTATATGACCATGAAGCAGTAGGCTATGTCTGGATTAGGGAATGGGATATGACTGTGAAGTATCTTTCTCCGCTCTCCCACCCCCAGGTCCTTTTACTGTTCCATGGCAGGCAGTCTCTGCTTGGGCCCTCATGGCCACACAGACCTTCTACTCCTTGGGCCATCAGCCTGTCTTTCCGGCCATTCATTGGCACGCAGCCTTCGTGGGATTCCCAGAGGGTCATGGGTCCTCCACCTGGCTGCCTGCTCTGCTGGTGGGAGCCAACACCTTTGCCTCCCATCTCCTCTTTGCAGGTACCTTATTCCTCCCCTGCTTCCATTGTTTACTCTTTCTGGAAGGAGAGGAAACTCCTGGATTTGAGTGGGGAGATGTGGTTTTGTTGGCCCTTTGGCACCCCGTAGCCAATGCTAATTGGTGCCTCAGTCAAGTAGGTTGGTTGGGAGCCAGGGTGGCCTGGTTCCTAGGTCCTCCACTGATTCTAGCCCTGCCTTTCTCTGAGGCAGTAGGTTGCCCTTTGCTTCTGCTCTGGCCCTTCCTCTGTGAGAGTCAAGGGGCCCGGAAGAGGTGGCAACCCCTAGGGAATGAAGCTGAAGCCAGAGTCAGGCCTGAGGAGGAGGAGGAGCCACGGATGGAGATGCGGCTCCGGGATGCACCTCATCACTTCAATGCAGCACTGCTACAGCTGGGCCTCAAGTACCTCTTTGTCCTTGGTATTCAGGTGGGTGAGTTAGTGACCTTTTCTCATGATCACATTCCTTCTTTTATACTTTGCTAACCCAACCTCCCACCCCCTCTAGGAGAGAGCCTTGACTGAAATACAGATAAGCAAAATGGTTGCCCAACGCTGTGGCCTCAAGGGGCTGTATTGAAACTTGAACCTGGGTCTCCATAATCCTATCTTGGACTGTTACCTCTCTACAAGCTAGATCCGGACCCTGCTGGTTGCATTTGGGGATTCCTCCTTTAGTGGACAGACTGGAAAAACTGAGGTGATAGACAGGATTCTTTCCCAGGCTATGGTCATGGATCGTCCTTCTCTTCAGAGGCAGGAGGTGTGACTCTGACATCTTCCTCCATCCTGGGAGGCAGAGCCTGAGTGTAATCAACACAGATGGATAGTGCTTGACCAAGGTCACACAGTGAATCATGGTGGGGCCAGGAAAAAAATTAGTTCTCCTAACTCCTCACCCAGGTTTCTTTCCACTGACATGTACTACTTTCCTACTCCTCCCTTCTACACAGGGGCCTACAGCAACTCTCCCTTTGACCTGTTTCCTCCTCCCCAAGTAACTTGACCTTTCCTGTCCTCCCTAGATTCTGGCCTGTGCCTTGGCAGCCTCCATCCTCCGCAGGCATCTCATGGTCTGGAAAGTGTTTGCCCCCAAGTGAGTGGGTTTGCTTGAGAAGTATTGGTGTTGGGGAGGGGGAAGCTTGGAGGTAAGAATAAACATCAGGGTGGGCAGGTTTTGTCTCATCAGGGAAAAGGTTCTCAACCTACTCTGTCCCCTGAGAATTCTCCACGTTTCTTTACAGGTTCATTTTTGAAGCCATGGGTTTTATTGTGAGCAGCGTGGGACTTTTCCTGGGCATAGCTTTGGTGATGCGAGTGGATGGTGCTGTGAGCTCCTGGTTCAGACAGCTAATTCTGGCCCAGCAGAGGTAGCCTAGGCTGCAAATGCTGGCTTGTGGCCACAGGGAGAGCTGGAGAACAATCTAGCCTGGTCTATATAGGTGCTGGATCATCTGCAAGAGAGGCTTAGTCACACTTCTGACCACCATGCAGCCAAGAGCTACTGACATCTGGGACTTCATTATTTTATAATTCAAAATCATAGTGGGGCCTGCTCCCTAACTCCTGCTTTGGAGGGTAGCCTCCAAAGGAGAATAAAATAATAATGTAAATATGTGTTTCTGAGAGGTGGGGGAGCCCCCACTGTCCTACAGGGACTGAGGAGGGTTACTCTCCCCTCCCACAAAGCACAGATGACACCAGCCATCTTATGCAGACCTAGCTACACCTGAAAACCTTTGGGAAGTTGTTAAAGTTGTCTGAATTCGTTTCCCCTACTTCTTCTCAAATCATTCTTGTTATCCCACCTGCGTTTTTTTTTTTTTTTTTTTTTTTTTGCCATGTAACATATTTTATTAAATTCTTATGCTTTGGCTGATAGTAGAGATGGCTGGAAAGACAAGCCCAGGCTCATGGAGTACACAGACTCACTGTCTAAAACCCCAAACAGTGCTGTATTCCCTCCTCTATTGGGTTCTTTCACTCCAGGACACCCTTTGCCCTTCACTTCTGTGGAGGCCACCCTAGTTTTCCAACCTTTGCTGTTCATTTATGAGACCTCATTGCCCGTCTTACATAGCATTGCATCTTGTCCCATTGATTATTCATGATTTGAAGCCACAAGTATAAATCTAATGCATGTCTCTTGTGTTCTCCATCTACTGTGTCACATTGAAGTGCTGCCATGAAATTCTCATGAAAATGTCCATCAAAGGAATGTATTGGGGGAGGCTCTGCAAAGGGTCAGGCCTGGTATTTGATGTTTGAGAATGCCCAGGACAAGAGGAGATGAAACAACTGAAAGAGAACAGATGGCAAATTGGAGAATAGCACTTTTACTTGGCAGAAAGAAGTCAGGCTGAGTAGTAGTGATTATGAAGGAAAGATGTTCACTGCTATGGTAGCTAAAGGAAGAGTTGGAATTATTAATGGCTAAGGGTCTCTAGGGCTACAGAGGCCACAGGGAAAGATGATGAGATGTGTATACTGTTTCAGGCAGTTAGAGGATTGGACATTGTTATCCCTGGCAGGAATAGGTTTCATAACACGAGAGAAGTTAGGCCCCAACCAAGACTGAAAGATTAGAACAAAGTCCCTTTGCCTCCTTCAGTCTGGCAGACATCATTCCCAAGCATCATTTAATAAGCACACTACCTCTGTGAGAAGAAAAGACACTTTCCCATTCCTAGGACCCAGGGGAAGGATTTCAGACTCCAGTCCCTCACCTTGTCTTAGGTTCCACCCCCTTCTTTTTCTTTTTGTCAGAGTGCCTCCTCTGGAGCCTACGGGAAATCTGCGGATCTGCCAGCCATTGGCTATTTCCTTTTCTTCTGGTCTAACTATAAGATCCTTTTACAGAAAGATATATTATTAAAAATTCTTATCCCTGCCTCTTCCTTGATATCAAAGTGCCCTTTCCACACTAACTTATTTTTTTTAAAGCTTTATTGGGGTAAATTCACCAGAAAATTCAGCCATTTAAAGTGTATAATTTAATAATTTTTGGTATATTCTCAGAGTTGTACAATTGTCACCACAGTCAATTTCAGAACATTTTCATCACCCCTGAAAGAAATTATCAGTACGTTTTCCTATCACCCTCCAGTCCTCCCCACCTCCAATCCCTAACCTTAGGTAACCACTAATCTGCTTTCTGACTGTATTTTCTATTCTGAACATTTTATATAAATAGAATCCTACAATATGTGTCCTTTTCTGTCTGGCTTCTTTCACTCAGGCTAGTGTTTTCAAGGTTCATCCATGTTGCGTTATGCATATTTCTTTTTTATGGCCAAATATTCCATTATATGGACATATCACATTTTGTTCATCCATTGATGGCCATCTGGGTCCTTTGTACCTTTTTTTTTTTCCTTTGTACCTTTTGATTTTTACCAATGCTGCTATGAACATCAATGTACAAGTTTTGTTTGGGTATGTTTTCATTTATTTTTGGCTTATACCTAGTGGTATATTGTGTAATTACTAGGTCATATGGTACATTTATGTTAACTTTTTGAGGAACTGCCAGTTTGTTTTCCAAGGCTGCTGCAGCATTTAATATTCTCATCATTGGTGTCTGAGGGTACTAATTTCTACATATCCATGCCTCTACTTGAAACCATTTATTTTTGATTCTGACCATCCTAGTGGGTATGAAGTGGTATCTCATTGTGGTTTCGGTTTGCGTGTCCTTGATGACTAAAAATATTGAGCATTTTTCTTTTGCTTATTGAAAAATTGTACATCCAGCGACCTTCTCTGTTTATTGACTGTTCTAATTTTTTTTTAAGATTTTATTTATTCATGAGAGACACAGAAAGAGGTAGAGACACAGGCAGAGGGAGGAGAAGTAGGCTCCATGCAGGAGCCTGATGCGGGACTCGATACCAGGACTCCAGAATCACACCCTGAGCTGAAGGAAGATGCCCAACCACTGAGCCACCCAGGCATCCTAAGTGTTCTTCTAATTTTTTAGTTATAAGCATTGTTTATATATTCTAGATAGAAGTACCTTGTCAGATACATGATTTGCAAATATTTATTCATTTATTCATGACTTGAGCCAAAGGCAGACGCTCAACCACTGAGCCACCCAGACATCCCATCTTTTCATCTTCTTGATAGTGTTCTTTGAAGCAAATTTAAAATTTTGATGAAGTCCAATTCATCCTACTTTTCTTTTGTTGCTTGTGGTTTTGGTGTTTGTATGTAAGAAACCTTGTCTAGGGCAGCCCAGGTGGCTCAGCGGTTTATGGCCGCCTTCAGCCCAGGGTATGATCCTGGAGACCCAGGATTGAGTCCTGCGTCAGGCTCCCTGCGTGGAGCCTGCTTCTCCCTCTGCTTGTGTCTCTGCCTCTTTTTTTGTCTCTCATGAGTAAATAAATAAAATCTTAAAAAAAAAAAAGAAAGAAAGAAACCTTGTCTAATGCCACAATTTAGTTTTAGAAAATTTTCATCATTACCACAAGGTCTCTATCCTTTGTTTACAATCAATCCCCGATTTCACCTTAGGCCACTGATCTATCTTCTGTTTTTCTAAATTTATATTTTCTGGACATTTCATACAAATGGAATCATCAAATATGTGGTCTTTTCTTTGACTTAGAATGTTTTTGAGGTTCATTTTGAAGCATGTATCAGGTTTTACCCCTTTTTATTGCTTAGTCCTAGTCCACTGTATAGTTATGATCAGCTAAGGGACATTTAGATTTTTACGGTTTTTTTAAGCTATTATGAATATTTTTGTAGCTGCTATGAGCATTTCCATACAACTCTTGGTGTAGACATATATTTTTGTTTTTCTTGAGAGGATTTCTTAGAGTGGAATTGCTGGGTCATAAGTAAGCTTATGATTAACTTTTTAAGATATTGCCAAGTTATTTTCCAAGGTAACTATAACACTTTACATTCCCATTATGTATGAGAATTCTAGTTGCTTTTATCTGTGGTAGGGGTCACAGTTTTGTTTTTGCATATGCATGTTCAATTCTCCTGGGTCCATTTGTTGAAAGGGGCAGGTAGTGCGCGAAGCACAAGCCCAGGGCTGTGTCGCCAGCAGTCACACAGCTTGGGGTTGAGTAGAATGTGGTAGCTCCATGGTGAGCAAAGAAAGGATGGGTTGATAGCCTGGGTCATCAGGGATCCGTTCCTCTTGGAGAGAGTTTGTGCCGGGGCTGGGCGGCTGTGGGCGTACTACGATTCCCAGGATGCCCTGCGCGGGCCCGCCCCCTGCGGGGGGCAAAGCCAGGCCGACCTGGAAGCGTGGCTGCGAGCGAAGGGCTGGGACACGGTTTCCGGTACCGAGATCGATTGCTCAAGGTTTCGGCCTGCGCGAGGGACTGGCAAACCGAACCGTGAGAAGTACAACCTTCCCACTCAGACGCACCCCCATCCTCTGGTCCGCCGTCGGCTCCCTTTTCGGATGGAGAGCCCACACGTTTCTTCCTCGAGTTTCCCGCGAGGACTAACCCTTGAGGACGACCAACCGCAGCAGAGAGTTTTGTCGGCGGGGCCAACCAGAGGCGAGATGGAGGAGGCGGGGGTGGGAGCCGGCCCCGAGTCCCCGAGAGAGTCCATTTCTCCCGAAAAGGCCGATTCGCCTCTGCGGGGGCCCTCAGGGGAGCAAAAGAGTCGCGGGAGGGTGCGGAAGCGCAGGGACCTTTCCCCGCTCGGGTGGGGACCGCGGCGGGACCGGGCTTACCCTTCAGCAGGCCCTTCCAGGTGTCCGGGTCCAGCCTCGGCCACCATATTGCACCAGACCCCTCTGAGCTCCTCAGGGCCACACACCAGCTGCCTAGACCTGTGGAGGGAAAAGAATGACCAGCTAGTTCGACAGGCCAAGGTAACACGGTTGCTGGGACCCTCACTTTGGAGCGCCAAAATACCGGAAAGAGGGTTTACAACGGACTTAGCACAGTTGATGGGGAGGGGTGGAATTTGACTCCTCTCCATCAGGAGCCAGGAAAGACTGGAGAATGACATACCTTGCCACAGTTGCAAGGGGAGAAATAAGGATTGATCCCTAATGATAACCTCATCCCACATTTGTCAGGTGGCTCAGGACTCGCGTCTGTATGTGAGGCGACAGCAGTTGGCTCAGGATGCACTGGAAGGGTTCAGGGGACTCCTCCATAGTCTGCAGGGTAAGCAGGATCCTCAGGATTGTCTGTTACCTTCCTACACAGCCAGAGACCAGTTCCTCTTCTGCATTTCTGGGACTGAGAAAATTACTCAGGGGGCGGGGGAATCCTATTTAAGTCACAGACGGGATTGGAGTGGAATTCTTTTTGGTACTGGTGAATCTCTACGCCCTGCCACGCCCCCCCCCCCCAAGTGGTTTCCGGGATGGTCCAATCTAGAGGACTTTCTGCCCTTTGTGTGCAAACGGTGATTTCTTTATTGAGGCCATTTTGGTTGGGGTAAGATGCTCTTTGAGTTTGGTTCTTATTTGGGGAATCTTTCTGGAGGGGAGTGGTCTATAAGGCCAGCATGTGTTGCTCCAGGACTCCCTGCGGCTGTTCCTGTTCTCCCCTTGGAATTGACTGTTACCTGCAATTTCATTACCCTGAGGGCAACCCTGGCCCAGGGTTTCACGGAGGACCAGGCACAGGATATCCAGAAGGGCCTGGAGAGAGGTGAGGGTCAGAGATTGTTTTCCATGTGTCTGCCAGCCTGACTGGGTTTAAGTCCTTGCAAAGCGGACAAGAGGAGCAATAAAATTTGTCATCTCTATGGAGAGAGATGCCATTTTTTTATCCTCCAAGTGGTCCTCAGACCAGTAGCACTTTTTTTGACTTTTGGGCTCCTGTAGGAAAGGAAAACCGGAGATGAGGACCCAACCTCAGCTATGTGTGTTTCCTCTACAGTGCTGGAGACCCAGGAGCAGCTGGGGCCCAGACTGGAATGTGGGCTTAGGGGGCTGTGGGACTCTGTTCTCCATTATTCCTCCCTTCTGCTGGAGCTGCTCCCTGTCCTTCACCATCTGGCTGGCCTGCAGGCTGCCCTCTGGCTAAGCACTGACCATCTTGGGGACCTGACCTTGCTATTGCAGACCTTGAATGGCATGCAGGTAATTTGGGAAAAGTAACCTAGATCTAAGGGTCTCTTCTCATCTCTCACCTATCTTAGCTGCAGTAGCATTTTGTGCTGGAAAGGCTCCTGGGTTGGTGGTCAAAAGACCTGAGTTCTCTCCAGGATTCTTGGTGACCTTGCTCTGTATTGGTCCTTCATCGGGGGAATTCTCTTGAGTGTTTTTTTTTTTTTAATTTATTTATTTGAGAGAGAGTGAGAGAGAGAGTGCATGTGCAGGTAAGAGGGGGGCGGAGGGGCATAGGGAGACTGAGAGAATCTCCAGCAGACTCCCTGAGTGTAAAACCTGATGTGGGGCTTGACCTCAGGACCCTGAGATCATGCCCTGAGCCAAAATCAAGAATCGGATACTTAACTAACCAGGCCACCCAGGCGCCCCTTGAGTTGTTGTTGTTGTTTTTTAATAGCTTAATGATCTCTGATAGGGTTAAGGCTTTTACTGACCTTGCTGAAGTCATCTCCCAGCCTCAGTCTTCTCAGCAGTAACCCACACATGGTCCTTGCCTTGTGTCCTCATGAGCATACACTGGATGAGGAGGCACACTAGAGTAGATTGTCAGTGCCCCCAGGTTTTTTTTCCTCCTTTATCCTTGTCTCATACCTATCTATCTCTTAGAATTGAGTGAACAGGAATCAGGAGGACCCTTGATTTATTTCAAAATCCAGCTAGGGTAGATTGAGATAGAAGAAGAGATGATTATAGGCTTACAGCCTCTAATCACCCTTCTTTCCTCAGAGTGAGGCCTCTGAGAATCTGCTGCTGCTTCTGAAAACTTGGAGCCCCCCACCTAAGGAATCAGATGCTCCACTGACCCTGCAGGATGCCCGGGGCTTAAGAGATGTCCTTCTTACAGCTTCTGCCTATCGCCAAGGTCAGCTAGCAGTCTTATTCATCCCCACCTCCCCACTCCCTGTCTTAAGGTGTCTTTTGGCTCATACCTTCCCTGTCATGTCCCACTGACCTCAGTGGAGCTTCTCTGTACTCTTGTTCCCTATCATGTCACCTGCCCCATGGGCATCTATAATTTTATACCCTGATTGTCATCAGGCCTCCAGGAGCTGATCACAGGAAGCCTGCCCAGGGCACTGAGCAGTCTGCAAGAAGCAGCCTCAGGTCTGTGCTCACGGCCTGTGTTGGTCCAGGTGTACACGGCCCTGGGGACCTGTCTCCATAAGATGGTAAAGACAGTGCTAGGGTGGGTTAGGGAAACTATGGGTGTTATAGACAGCTTTCTGCTTTGTGAGGGTAGCTGAAGCCTGTGTCCTCTCACCCCTCTAGGGCAATCCACAAAGAGCTCTGCTGTACTTGGTTGCAGCCCTGAAAGAGGGATCAACCTGGGGTCTTCCGCTTCTGGAAGCCTCCAGGCTATATCGGCAACTGGGGAACACAGCAGCAGAGCTGGAGAGTCTGGAGCTGTTGGTTGAGGTAAGGAACTGAAGATATAGGGATTGCTGAGGTGCTTGTGTTAGGGAGGCTAATCAAGTTGTAAACAGAAGAAAATATGGCTCCCAAAGATTATAGACATATAGATGTACTTTTTTCTTTTTGTCCCTTTTAGGCCTTGAATGTTACTCACAGTTCTGAAGCCCCCCAGCTTCTCATTGAAGTAGAGTTACTACTCCCCCAACCTCACCCAGGCTCACCCCTTCATTGTGGCACACAGAGCCAGGCCAAGTACCTGCTAGCAAGCCGATGCTTACAGGTAGGAAGGTAAGGTTCCACTGCCTTGCTCATCTGAGCTTCTCTTTCCATTTCTGATGTCTTCCCTGGGGTGTGAGTCTACTTCTGTTCTTGCAAGTGAGCTATATGGACAAGTCAGTGGTAGATCATAGGTTCGCATTCCTCAATCTCCTGGTGGACCTGAACTTAAGACTCTTCACTCAGACACCAAGCTCTTGTATCTTTTAAAATTCTGAAATCTCCTCCCAAATCCATTCCGTAAGGAGGGTGGATCCATATGAGCTGGGATTGGAGCCCCAAGACCCCACTCTCCCCATTCCCTAGGGCCCTTGAGCATCCCTTTGTTAGCTAAGAGCCCTTGGAGGACCCTACTAAGAGCCTAATGTGAAGCTAATGGGCTATGACTCCTCAGGGCTGAGGACGCTGCAGAGCATTACTTGGACCTGCTGGCTCTGTTGCTGGATGACTCAGAGCCAAAGGTGAGTATATCGTCAAAGTTCTCTATAATTGGGTAGGAGGGTTGGAGTCTCCTTTGGAGTACAGCAGGACTGCTGTTTTCTCTTTTTACTTCTGCTTTTCTGTCCAAGTTGGAAGGCCAGACCAGGAAGGTTCCCAGAGCAAAGGGTCCAGTGTAGCAAGCAATGGGTGGTCTCTGTGTGGTACCAGAGCCTGGTTGAAGAGGTTGGGGATGGCTAATGCCTCTTTAAGACACTGCATCCTCCTCCCACCCCAGTTCTCCCCACCTCCTACCCACCCAGGGCCCTGTATGCCTGAGGTGTTCTTAGAGGCAGCAGCAGCGCTGATCCAGGCAGGCCGAGCCCAGGATGCCTTGACTGTATGTGAGGAGCTGCTCAGCCGCACGTCATCTCTGCTTCCCAAGATGCCCCAGCTGTGGGAAGATGATAAAAAAGGAACAAAGAAGTCACCACACTGCCCATCCTGGGTTTCTGCCACCTACCTGCTTCAGGGTCAAGCCTGGGTGCAGCTGGGGGCCCAAAAAGAGGCAATTAGTGAATTTAGCCGGTGAGCCCAGGGAGCCAACGAGGATCCGAGGGGAAGTATGGTGGGATAATTTGCTGATTGGGACCTGAGTTGGTAAGCTCCTTACCTACTCACCCCAGAATTTCTGAGGTTGACTCCTCTTCACCCCTATTCTGTATCCCACTTCAGGTGCCTTGAGCTGCTTTTCCGGACCACACCTAAGGACAAAGAACAAGGTGATCTAGACTTTTAATTTTCCTCTTCCCTCCCAAAGTGGGTATGGTGAATGTGTTGCCTTTCCATGCATCCTAGCCTACCAGGAGACTTAAAGGGACTCCAGACACAAGAAGAGTAAGAGGAGTACTTGGGGTTTCGGTGATTATATGGCAGGGACACATTTTTTGACTTTTGGGGTGGTCCCTAGGGCCTGCTTCCAACGGTGAGCAGGGGTGTATGTCAGATGTGGCACTACCACAGCTTCGGGCAGCTGCCCTGATTAGTCGTGGACTGCAATGGGTAGCCAGTGGCCAAGACACCAGAGCCCTACAGGACTTCCTCCTTGGTGTGCAGATGTGCCCAGGTATGTATATTTGTGTGGCATCAGCTATGCCCAGATGCACGAGGGCAGAGAGGTCCATGGGGGAGGTACTTGGGAATTAGTGGGAGAGTGATGTTCCCAGATAAAAGGGGATGAATGGGGTTGTACTGTATGTACCTAGGGATATACCTAGGTTTGAAGACATATGCAAGTGTGTATGAAGGTTCTCAGGAGTTCCTGTCTTCTCAATGTCCTCAGACACAAAGATCATAACTGCGCTGGGAGTATGCTGGGGAGAAGCAAGGTCAGCTGAGCCCTTTGTCTTGGGTAGGCAGTATGCAAGGATAAGAATGGTTGGGACTGATCTACCCCCTGGTTTTTATTTTTAAATAAGATTTTATTTATTTATTCATGAGAGACACACAGAGGCAGAGGAAGAGGGAGAAGTAGGCTCCCTGTGGGGAGCCTGATGTGGGACTGGATCCCCAGACCCTGGGATCATGCCCTGAGCCAAAGGCAGATGCTCAACTGCTGAACCACCTAGGTGTCCCTCTACCCCCTGGTTCCTTTCTTTTTTTTTTTTTTTTAATACTTTATTTATTCATAGAGAGAGAGAGAGGGGGGCAGAGACAACAGGCAGAAGAAGCAGGCTCCATACAGGAAGCCTGATGTGGGACTCCATCGCAGGTCTTCAGGATCACACCCCAGGCTGCAGGTGGCGCTAAACCGCTGCGCCACCGGGGCTGCCCTACCCTCTGGTTCTTTTTTTTTTTTTTTTTAATTTTTATTTATTTATGATATTCACACAGAGAGAGAGAGAGAGGCAGAGACACAGGCAGAGGGAGAAGCAGGCTCCATGCACTGGGAGCCCGACGTGGGATTCGATCCCGGGTCTCCAGGATCATGCCCTGGGCCAAAGGCAGGAGCCAAACCGCTGCACCACCCAGGGATCCCTACCCTCTGGTTCTATGTGTGACTGTAGAAAAGATACTTCCCTCCTCTAGGCCTCAGTTGCTCCTTTTATAAAATGATGCTTAAGGCTGTGTCAAGTTCTTTTTTTTTTTCCTTTTTTTAATATTTTACTTATTTGAGAGAGAGATAGTGAGAGAGAGCACAAGCAGGAAGGAAAGGGAGAAGCAGGCTCCCTGCTAAGCAGGGAACCCCATGAGGGGCTTGATCCCAGGACTCTGAGATCATGACCTGAAAAGCTGTGTCAAGTTCTAAGCCTCTACCCTGGGGTGGGGCTACAGGTAATCAAGATGCTTCATTTCACCTGCTTCAGACTCTGAGGAGGATGGATCGGAGGGATGAGGCCACTGCTCTCTGGTGGAGGCTAGAGGCCCAAACTAAGTTGCCACAGGAGAATGCTGCATGGTGAGCCTGAGGCCTGAGGGCTTGGGGTTCAGGGCAGTTGGCATCCTGGAGTCCTGGAGTCTGTTGGGGATGGTGATGAAAGAAAGGGAGGGAATGTTTGTCCAACCTTTTGCCTCTCCTTCACCCTTAGACATTACTCTTTTTGTTCTCCAGGTCTCTCCCCCTGTACCTAGAAACCTGTTTGGGCTGGATTTGTTACCCTGACCGTGAAACCCTTCTTGAGGAGTTTCAGACATCTCTGCCGGAGCCTTGTGACCTGTAGCTGCCACATTTTAAAGAGCCTGAGCTGGGGCTCCAGTGACCCTTTTCTCCATGGGGAGGGCTTTCTGCTTTACCATTCTTGGGGAATGTGGGTGAAACTAATCATTCCTGTATAATTCTGGCATTGGAGAGATTGGTAGTAATCCTGCAAAATTTGGCCTAGTTACTGCCATTCTGGTTCCAGAGGAAGCCCCCTTGTCACCAAAAAAGCATTAACTTTGCTTATGACACCTTTTTCCTGTTTTCCCTTTTCTCAAGTTGAGTAAAATCTCGTATTTATCTCTTGTTTGCCTACTACATATACTTGAGTGGGAAGGCTCACAGCTGCCTGATTCAATGCTGGTCATCTAAGATGTCCTCTCCGAACATCATCTACCTTATGAGATTGAGTTCTTGGTAGAAGAAGGGGCCACAGGAATCCTTGCAGTGGCTTGGTTTCTATCTGTTGCCTAAAAGCCAGAGCGCCAAAGCCCAGGATCCTGTGCAAGTTGACAAAGAGTGGAACTGGGTCTGGAAGGTGGTCTGGACAGGGCTTTCAGGACAAGGGCAGGTATTTGATTCGTATTTAGAGGGGAAGGACAAGCGGACTTCTGAGTCTCTGAGTGACTCCCCACTCCAGTCCCAAATTTCTGCCTTCAGTCAACAATGTCAGTGTGGATAGGGGATGAAGGATGGATTAATTTAATCAGTGTGGTGCCAAAGATGATTATTGAATTTAGGGCTATCTCACCATTTGGGGCCCAAGGATTTCAGGTCTCAGCATGCAATTTTATTGCTGCTTTGGGTTCTATGGCATCTACTGTGTTCTCTGGTTGCCTTTTGACCTTTTTTTGGACTTGAGTGCCCTCCCCCTCAAGCCATTAACTTAAAGGCTGAGTGGTAAGAGGAAGAATATACCTCCAAGCCCTGAAGAACTGTAAAGCCTATGGGATTAGAGTTACCAGAGGGTGCCAAGACAATAGGGTGGAGTGGATTAAGAGTTGGGTTGCCAAAGGGTTCAGAGTAGGGATGGCTAGATACAGTTTTGGACACAGGAGAAGGGTAAGGGTAGATCCTTAGATTTGGGAAGAAAATGGGTGTGTAGGTTATCACTGCAATAGGAGTAGACTAATACAAGGGTTCAATCTATTGTGCCAGGTTCTTGAACAGGATAAGATCAGGAGCCAATGAACTGGAGCCAAGTGGGAGAGTCCGCCTCCCGGGGATTAAAGGCCCTTCTCTCGCCAGTCGCTCTGGCTCTATCCTTTTCGTTGATTGGTTGCGAATCCCAATCCGTCGAGGAAGCGTAGCGCTGCGGCCAATTGACGTGGCGTTACTAGGCGTGTTGCATCCCTGAGGCGGGAGCCAGGCCGCAGGCGAATTTCCTGATTGGCTCTGGTCCGCGGGTTGCTGGGGAGAGGCGCGGAGAGGCGGGCGGGAGTCCCCAGGGCAGGCGCTGATTGGCTGAGGTGAAAGCACCTCTCCTTCCGATGATTCGGCTCTTCTCGGTTCAGTCTCAGCGCAGCGTCTGCAGCCGTCGTTTGAGTCGTCGCTGCCGCTGCCCCCTCCCGGATTAGGAGCCAGTGTATACCGCCCGCCCACCGCCCCGGTGCCTCTAGGAGGAGGCGAGAAGGAGGCCGCCTGCGGGTTTGTCGCCGCTGCTCGCCCCCCTGCCAGGGAGAGCCGAGCCCCGGCCCAGTCGGTCGCCTGCCACCCCTCGTAGCCGTTACCCGCGGGCCGTCACAGCCGCCGGCCGGGAGAGGCGCGCGCCATGGCCTCTGGAGCTGAGTGAGTGTGTGCGCGCGCCCGCCCGCCCGCTGCGGGTGCGCGCACCTGGGGACTCGCCGCGCTGGGTAGGCCCGGCCGAGCCTGGCCGTGGGCGCGTCTGAGAGGTGGAGACAAGGAAGGAGGGAGAGAGGGCAGAAGCGGGGGGATGAGGGGCCGCAGTCCGGTCTGGGCCTGGCTTCGCACCCGCGCGCCCCCTAGGCCGGGCTTGCGTTGGGCCTGGGTCGGGGCCTGGGCCAGATCGTGCTGTGTCATGCAGGCCCGGGCGGCCTGATTGGCTCCCTGGGAACCGCTCTCCGGTTCTTGTGAGGTCTGCGGGCCCACATTGCCAGCGCGGAGCCCCGGGGCCTTAGGGCGCCCACCTGCGATCAGGTCTACTATCCGTTGAAGGCCTTTGGTCCCCGGAGAGAGCAGGCCCTGCGGGCCCGACGCCCGAACTGGGCCCAGTGGGCGTGGACTTTTGGCCACGTGAAGGCCTTAGGAGCCGGGAGCCAGGCGGAGGCCGGAGCGGGGAAGACTCGGCGAGCTCGGGGAAGTTCACGACGGCCTCTTTGGAGCTGGGTCGGCCTGGCCCTTGGTTGACATCTTCACGACCTGAGCAGTGAGGGGCTGTTAGGGAGAGGGCGGGCCCTGCGTTTCGTTTTTGGCCTCCTTCGTAGGTTTGTTGTTCTTCGCATGAGAAAGCTTTGGTCAGTTTTTCTTAATATTATGAAATGGGGGTGGAGAGTAGGAACTTTACTTTTTGGGCTTTTGGTAAAGTTCGAATCTCAGTTGGTAATTTGCAGGGCTTTCTCAATTTCAGCCTTTGTGCTGAGAAGGTTAGAGTAGCCCTGACTCTTTGAACACACACGCTCCTTTCCCCAAAATGCTGTGTTGAGAAATCTTGGGTTCTCCATCCCTCAGGAAAGCATCAGATAAAATCCTACCACCTCTGCCCATCCTGCCCATTAAATTTAGAATCAAGAGCTTTAGCTACTGAGGAAAAAAAAAAAAAAAAAGACAGCCATCCTGTGGAAACTCTTCTATGCAAATCACTTTCCTGACTTGAAGAAAATTTAGTTTTTTGAGGTGTGTTCCCTTTTTTTTTTTTTTTCCAAGTTTCTAAACGGAGATTGAAGTATTACCTGGGTGTCTATTTAAAAGGACCACTACTTACTAATACTTACTCTCTTAGGTCTAAAAATAAAAATTCAAAATTCTTGGAACCTGGCATCATAGATGGTTTCTAACCTCTAGGTCATCTTGATGACTCTTACCTGAACTCCCTCCAAGTCCCCTGTGGCCCATTGGAGTTCTGGAAAGGGCCTGACTCATGCAGAAGACAATGGGGATGTCCCCAAAGAGCCTCCAGGACTGCTGTTGGCCCACGATCAGGCTGAAGCTCTCTTTTAGAGGTTACTTCCTTTGATCTTAGTAGATAGATTTGGAAGTAAAGGTCTTTGCCTTAAGGGAAGAGCATACTAGTCATCTCCATTGCTAGGGTCAGGAATGGTAAGCAGTCAGGAAGTTTTTCTAGAATGCAACTTTGGGGTTAAAATACAAACTATGCTGACTAGAGGCATCTGGCATTTTATTATTCTCTAGCCCCAATCCTATAGATTAAACAGGAAGGTGCGTAGTCCTTGGAGGGTATTTTGATGTGTGAGAGAAAGGGAGAGTTGATGGCTTTAAATTGCCTTCAGCTGCCACATTGACTATGCTTATTCTCCAGAGTGTTGATGAACACTGGAGGAGTCTGCCTGTGATGGAACATTGTGACCGGAATGCTACACTTTTTAGGTTGAGGAGGCAAGTTTAAGCTGAGGAAACTCCACTCTTTGAAATTAGTTTTAAGGTCATGATTAAAGACGCAGCCTTTGTGAGAGGATCAGCAGAAAGCTTACAACTTTGTTAGATGAATGGAATTTGTACTTCTGTTGGGTAGATCAAGACCAAAAGATGGAGAAACACCACAACTTCCTAGCTAGTATTCTGGAGTATAGGCATCTTTTTTTCTTGTAAGTTGTGAAGATATAATTTTTGTTTCTTGTTTGTTGATTGATGTATTTCCAGATTATAGGATGGTGCCTGGCCTGTAATGTATACTTGCTAATTTGTTAAGTGAAGGAATAGTTAATGGAAAATATTCTTTTTTATTTCTTCATTTCCTCCGTTATTTGGCCTCCCTGTTTGTTAATGTTCAGGTTTTCCCGAGCCTTAGTAGAAGGAAGTAGCTTTTTTTTTTTTTTAAGATTTTATTTATTTATTCATTCATTAGAGATAGAAAAAAAGAGGCAGAGACACAGGCAGAGGGAGAAGCAGGCACCATGCAGGAGCCTGATGTGGGACTTGATCCCGGGACTCCAGGATCACACCCTGGGCCAAAGGCAGGCGCTACTGCTGAACCACCCAGGGATCCCAGAAGTAGCTTTTCAAAGGGAGAGCCCACTGAGTCTAGTTACTGAAGGTTGGAGAGAAGCTAGGTAAGAAGTTGGTGTCAGGTGAATGATCTTCTAAGAAATTATTGAAACTATTTAGAGGGTTTAAACTGAGCTTGGACTCAGCTTTGGTCTGGGTGAGGGATTTGGATTTGCTCCATGTCTCAGCATTTCTAGGTTTTGACTTTCTGAACCAATATAGTGGAATTGTATGTCTTTGCAGAGATTTGTCAAGCTCTTTTTGAGCTTGGGCCTCTTTCTGAAGGTTTCAGATCTATTAGTTTAGTTTTCCCCAAATGTCATAGTCTTTGTGCTTGGCATTTCTGTGGTATATAGAATGCTCTGGAATTTAGCAGGTTTAGCCAGTAAGGATGGTAGTGCTAATGATTCTACTTCATTGTCCCCAGGCTTGGTGGGACTTGGGGCCTCCCTGAGTCCTACAGGAAGTTGTCTTGCTCACTTCATTCTCCAAGAAGGTTAGCAAAGAAGAGTTTATGCTTTCTTCTGCAGTGGTATTCATTGTGACCATTAATACCATGCGCCAGGCA